GTTCAACGCCATGTCCATAATCTCCAACATAAAAATCACGACAATACATAAAAAAAGCATTAGTTAATCAAAGATATTTTAATAGATGAGAGGATCCATATACATAAAAATCGCTATTTTTTTTTATCATTTTTAATTTTTTTTTAAAAAAAACAAAGGTTAGGTTAAGGACGGAGTGTAAGAGAGAGTAAATGATAATGCCAATAATAATGGAGGGATTCTATACAGTATTAAAAACAGTATGAAATTCGAGGAGTTGTTCAAATATTGTAATAATACTATTACTTGCGTTGACTATCTTATGCTTACTCTTACTTCGACTTGGACCGGGCTTGCGTATTTTGGATTTTAACAGATACATTTTTTTTAAAATTTTAGATTTCAAAAATTATATCGATTCAATTTTACAAATACTATAATTTTATTTCTTAAAATGATTTTTTTATAAAAATTTATTTTAAAATTTTTCAATTATTATAAATTTACAGCATATTATCATTTTTAATTAGATCTGACGCTCAATTAGTAGGGATGGGATAAAAATAAACTTTTTTTCATGAGGTAAAGTGGAAGAGTGTGCAATGTAAAAATAGGTCCAATAGCTTTTTATTACCACCTGGGGATGAATTGGTTTATATTATTATATGTTTTTTTTTTAATATCAATTTCTTCGGATTTGAGTTTTCACTTTTTACCCTTCAGTTTCTTACTATACGCTTTCTTGGTGTTGTATCTCGGCCTCCTTCGTAGCCTTACAGCTAAAAAGTCGTAGCTGTTGGATGCAACATATCTTCAAAATCATTTTCATCTATATTTATATATATGAATTTGTCTTTTTCCTTTTTTTAAAAAAAATATTTTCAGATAGAAAATTATATGTGAGTGGATAAAATACCTCACGCTCACACCGTTGGATATTTCTTCATGTCTTTCTCTGCATGAGTAATATGATCTATCGTATAAGAAACAGAATTAAGAAGATCTTGTCAGATTTTTTTGTCATATATAGCCGCAGAATCTCTGTTTAGTAGCTTAATTAGTGGTTTTTATTTTTATTTTTATTTTTATTTTCTGCCGAATTTTATTTTGTTTGATAGGATCAATTTTTTCTCCTTTTATACTTGTTTATAAAAACTATTTTCATTTTAATTTGTGATTATAAGGAGAATATTGCTACCAATAAAACGGGCAAAAAATCAATAAAAACAAAACTAAATCCAATTCAACCGAATTAAACTGAACTAAATTTATATTGTTTTGCTTTGATTTATATTACGTCATCGATAAAAACTAGGCCGAGCTCGATTCATAACCCTTGTAATTTTTCGTTCTAAAGATAAATTTCTAACCCATAATAGTATTTTGCTTTTTAATTTTTTTTTACCGAAATTAGAATAATTTGTATTCGAATAAAAAAAGAACTAGTATTGGTAGTATTAAAGATGCATTAAGGCTTTGAATGATATTAATTTTATTTGAGTTTTTTACTTTAGTTTTTGGATTTTGATTTTTGAATTTTGGATTTTGGATTTTGAGTTTTTAGCAAAACCAACTTTATAAAAACTTAATTGGTTATTTTTTTTAGTTTTAAAATTTTAAAAATTCTAAAAACCCCAACTATTCTAAAAAATCAGAAAAAATTGTGGTGAATCTCCGAATCAATGGGCCTTATTGGGCCTATATTGTCTTCAGCAGTAGGCCCATTAGTCTCACCTAATTGTTCTTACGCCAAAAAACCTCACATGAGTTCACACATTTTTTTTCGTCGGCCCCATTTGAAAATTTGTTTTTTAGACCGTGAAAATTGAAATATTGATTTAATAAAAAAAATATTTTGTGCTAAAAAACGAAAATAATTTCGCAACGATTTTCTCAATTCAAACAATATAAGGAATATATACAGTTTCTGAGTTTATTGAAAAAGTTATAACAATATAATTCTTAATTTTGTTTATCTAAGGCTATGCTATGCTTATATAAGCAAAATATTCATCGGTAGATTGTTTTTGCAAACAAAAAAAAAAGAAAAAGAAAACCTAATTAAAACGAAAATAATTAAGACATATATACAAGTATTCCACAACTATAATTCTAACTCCCTAAAACGTCATAGCACCAAAAGAATATACTAATATGAAATATCGAAATTTCACTTTTTAAATTGTTGGCATATTCGGAAATTGTTGCCAAAATCGACTAAATTACAAAAGGGCAAGTTGATTCGTGGGTTGTGGGGACATATAAATAGTTTTGAATTTTATTTTGTATTCACGGGAAAAAGTTAACGTAATTATGTGAAAAAATAAATAAAATGGAGAAAGCTTGCGTACGGAAAACGTGACACGTAAACGGTGGGAGAAGGCATGTGGTGCAAGTAATCTGCATGGCTTTGGTTTTATCCCCTACGTGTTTTCGGAAATTCGTCCATTATGACGTGTCATCTTGATCATTTTCCTTCACATGATTTCGATATGCTATACATACGGTCTACCGTCCAGGGGTTGGCCAATTCGGGTTTCGGTTCGGGTTCGGTTCGGTTATATTCGGGTTCGGTTATTTCGGTTATAGAAAAACTATAACCATTCGGTTTTTATATAAATTCTGGTTCGGTTCGGTTCGGTTATTTTTCGGTTCGGGTTCGGAGGTTTTGGTAAAAAGTTCAATTTTCCAAAGAAAATGTCGGTTATTCTCTCGGTTTTTTCGGTTATTTTTTATTCGGTTCGCTTCGGTTTCGGTTTCGGTTTTTCGAGTTTAAGTAAATCATAACCGTTCGGTTTTGATGTCGGGTTCGATTCGGATACGGTTATGTCTTATTCGATTCGGTTCGACTCGATTATTCGGTTAATAATCGAAATGGCCACCCCTACGTGTACCTATGAAATAAACGTACATTCAATACAAATATTATATTATTTTTTATTGAGAAATTTTACCACAAATATAGATTATTAACTAAAAGGGCATAGATTTTAATAAATAAAAAAATATTCTGCGAGTTTTATCGTTGAACTACTTATTTTATTTACGGACACAACATCTTCGGATTTATCCTCATAGATTGTGAAATTAATTTCATGTATCAGATCCGAAAGCTGCAAAAAAAAATATTGATAATTGAAGAAATTAAAAGAGGAAATTTGTGGCTGACGATTTTAGATGGACACAAGGAAGTCAGATCCGAACATATAGAATAAGAAAAGGTAAAAAAAAATATTTGTGCGTCCCGTTCGTTGGCAATGTTTATCTCATCAACGTACCTTTTTTTTTCCTAATCCATATATATATATATATTTAAAAACTATACGTGATTTTTTTTTATTGAGGCTTCAATAAAATATTAAATATGGAAAAATAGAAAAATGTTTATTTCGGTGCAGTAATAAATAACTGGAGCATATAAAAAGATCCGAAAACGAGTGGCGTGGAGCCTGACGAGATTTCGCTTCCTTTCTTCCTCTCTCTTTCTCACGACGACTCTTCTCCTCCCTCCTGACAAAACCCACCAAAATCCCCGCTTTCTGCAATAAAAAAAACCCAGAAACCAGAAACAGGAGAGGAATCTGAGAATCAATTTGTCGGAAGGAAAGAAAAGATGGAGAGTAATGGAGCGACGAACACAATCACGATCAAAGGGATACTGAGTCTGCTGATGCAGAGCATCGAGGAAGAAGACAAGAGCCCGAAGAGAGTGATATCACTGGGAATGGGAGATCCTTCTGCGTATTCGTGTTTCCGCACAACACCAGTGGCCCAGCAAGCTGTTTCCGATGCCCTTCTCTCTCACGACTTCCATGGCTATGCCCCCACCGTCGGTCTCCCTCAGGCCCGAAGGTCATTTCCGTATTTTTCCCTCTTCTCCTCCTTTTAATAGTCATTCATGGTGGTCCTCTCTCTCTCTCTCTCTCTCTAGGCGTTTGAATGGTATAACGGCTCTTTTGACTATGGTTATGGCTTCAATGCTTTGTATTTGGTTAATTTTCACTGCCATGGCGTTGAAATCCACGGTCAAGTTTTCACTTGGTGTGGGGTTAGAGAGAGAAAATACTCTCCCCTCTCTCTAACTTTACCAACCCTAGCCATCGAGATTGTGTGGATCCGACCAATCTCCCCCGCATCCCCTCCACACCGGTCGGCCATTGCCGGCCGGCTTTCCAAATTCCCCTGGTCGGCCCACTGCGGACCTGGAAAATCAAGCCACTGACCAAATCCCCACACACGACTATGCCTCCTCGACTGAGATCTTCCTCGGTCCCCACTTCGCCCAGTATCCTAGGCCCGCCTCCTCCCTCTGCGGTGGCCGCTCTCCCCTCCTCTTCTACTCCGAAGACCGCATCACATCGCCGATGTCCTTCTGACCCCCATCCTTCTATTCAGAAAGTACAACCGACTCCTACGGGTCAAGCTGGCAAAGTTCAGGTGACTACGGGTTTGGGCAGTGCCTCCTCTCAATCAGGGCCCCTTGCCTCCAATAACCCCTCTCTCCCCCCCTCAGGTTCCATTGAGCCTGATCACTCTCTGCCTCCTGCCGAAGCTGAAGCTTCGGGACAACGTGTGAATCCGCAGGTAGTCC